CGAACCTTCTTCTGGCCCGGCATGGCCTCCACAGAGGGGGGCGCCACTAACTTGTCACAGTACGTTTCGAAGCACGGCGTCTGGATGGCGCTTCATCTCTGCTCTTTGGAACGCACAGTTATGAAACGAAAATCTAGATGGCGCTTCGAATGACACTTGGCGGATTGAGGTGAGTGAGGGGGGGGGGGGGGGGGGTACCCCCTTCCGCTTGAGTTCCACAACTGAAGTAATCTAGTAACGTTGGTCCCAAGCTTCACCCCCTCAACTCTGTGACGTCACAGCGCGGTGGTGGCGCGTCGATCGCATTTTCGGTCTGGCGCTGTGGGCAAAAGTCCCCATGCCGGACGTGTATTCCTGCGTTGCTTTGAAAGGAACCAGACAAAACAACTTGCCTTCTCGTCAAAACGCCGCGACTGGGGCCGTACCAAAAGTGTCAAAAAAGGTTTAACGGTCAGTTTTCACGTGCTCGGTTCGTCCGAGAATCTGGATATGTGCCGTGAAAAGGGAAAAGCAGACGCCGTCGGACAACGATTGCTTGGGCGGGAAGCACTTTGGGTTGAATTCACGGATACTTGTGGTCATCAGATTTATTTGTTTTGTTCCAACATGAACGCCAGAAAACCGTCAAGTTGTGCGGACCACCTGCGGACTACGTTCAGTGCGTCTTCAAGTTCAAACGGCCGCCTGATTGTTTGAACTGCCGTCTGCTATTTCAAACGTTTCTGCTTGTCGTCTGCTCTCTGAGACGACGCCTGCTCGTAGACCAAATGTTGGTCCGGTACTCACAATAAGAAGTAAGTGCAGGCCTCAAAAGACTTGAGTTTGAAGGTTGGCAAGCAGGCTCGATGCAAACAGTAGATACAAGGAGATGGTGATCATTGTTACCAGTGACCATCACCGAGTTGTTATCCCTAATTCACTTGGCCCGATTCTGCTTGCGATTTTCAGTACCGACGTCGACCATCTCAGCTACGGTTCACGCCTTTCCAGCCCGAGCGGCGTCGCGACTGAAAATTGCGAGCGAAACCGCATCATGGGAATCAGGCTTTAACGTACATGCGGAAGGAATCGCCACGCGGAAGGAATCGCCACATGTCACATTAGTCACGCGAAGTTTTGTGACGTAACGAGGCTCGGTAATTTCACTGAGGGAGCTCAAGTAGTCAGACATCGCCAGGAAGACGTAGAATCAATAATTCGAACGCGAAAAAGGGCAGGGGGACTCACACCGGCAACATCGCATTCCAATGGTTTGTTTATGGACGACGGCGAGCTTCTTGCCCACACCCCCACCGCGCATGCGCGGCGTCGGTGGCGTCCGCTAGGGGCGCTCCGGTTTGTTTGTAAACATGAGTTCTAGAAGATTATAGAAGATTAACTTGCCACTCAAAATACGTACAAAAGCATCGTTCCCCCCTCTCTCTTCCCCGGTGGTATCAAGGTCACACCTGGTCGTTCTCCGTCACGTAATTCGGAGTGCCGTGTAGTTTTCCGTGTTCTCATTCGGAGGACGCTTCCTCTCCCTCTCTCGGCTGACATTAGCGGGCGTTGTGCTGCAGGTTAGAGCCGAGCGAGGTCACGTAAGCTTTTCGCCGTAGTTCCTTTGGCTGCCGCACGCAGCTGCAGGTGGGGGAAAAAGCTCGACTTTTGCTTTGCGACTATGCAGCGGAATCACAAATTTTTTTTAATAAAGAATATGTTGTCTGTATCCTCCGGGACATGATAAACAACGTAAAAATTACGAGATGCAAATTCTTTCAATCAGAAAATCGTTGCAACCCCCCTTTAAGTGCCTTTCTGAACGCAACCTACTTGAAGAAGGTGCGACCACTGCTGTGCGTATTATATGGGTTCTCTTCTATCCATTCATTTATATCCGTATCCCAAGTTCGTTTATAGCTTGTAGTTAGGAAATATAGCTTGTAGTTAAACGATGCGTCTAAGGTTCGCCGCAGGACGTGATATTCAGCGATGTCACTATAGCTAAAGCGACCTCTTTATTTCTGTCCCAAAAATGTTTTGTAATACGTATGAATGATATGCCACGCACGTTGCCGAGCGAGCGCGTGGCCGAATGGTTAATGCGCTCGGCTCTTCGGCCGGAACCTTCGGGTTTGATTCCAGGAAGCGGACTCTTCTTTTGTTTATTCTCTCAACTTGAAATTCTCGTAAGTTCGAAAGCCTTGTCGTATGATCGAGGTACGAATGTTCTACGCGCCGAACTACGCCGAATGTTCCAGAAACCCACGCGGGTACAAACGGTGCTCCGGATGGCGGTCCGGAGTCAGTCTCTTCCCGGCGCTCGATCCTGTTGTTTCGCCGACATTGACGCTAGCATTTTTCTATTTTGTTTTGGCACAAGGGCACCCTAATAAACATTTATATTTCTTCAGTTATTCGCCACCTCATCATTTGTCATTCGTGACAATATCCTGCTTCTTACAGTTGGACTGCAAACAAATAATCCTACGGTGTTTTCTTTTTTTTTTTGTCGTTTTGTGTTACGTGCTAATACACCATTCTGGTAAACCATATTTGTGCAACTGTATAATTGTCGTTGTCACTGACGTTGATACAAATTACGCAATGTGGTAGTATCTTCAAAAGTAATTGGATTACATTTCTAAGTATTTGTACTCTACTCAAGATACTTTATAGTGAAAGTAACTTGAGTAGTATTTTAGATACTTCATGAAGCAGGTATTTAGTAACTTAGCTTAAATACTTTTATAGAGAATTTTGTCCGACACTGGTCCAAACGAAACAAACTGTAGAAAATTGAGTAACTTATCCAATTACGCCGCAATAAAAAAAAATGCTTAGCTTATACCTTCTGGTAAGCATATTCGGCCCACAGCGAAATACTTGAATACCTGGTTTTTTTTTGTTTTTTTTTAGACTGAGGTAAGAGTAGAGGAAGGAGTTGTCCCTCTGTGGGCTGCGATGCCGTGCTAACTTATGTGAAAAACGGCATATGACCATAACGAGGCTCGTTACACCGCAAAACTCGGCGTGAATAATGTAACATGCGGCGATTCATTCCGCGTGGACGCCGCAGAATGGATGCTAAAGCCTGATTCACATGGTGAGGTTCTGCTCGCTATTTTCAGTCATGACGTCGCTCGGGCTGCAAAGCCTGAACCGTAGCTGAGATGTCGACGTCGATACTGAAAATCGCAAGCAGAATCGAACCGAGTGAATCAGGCATAACAAGTCGGTGATGGCCACTGGTAACAATTATCAACATCTCCTTTTATCTACTGTTTAGACCGAGCCTACTTACCCGAAGCAACCTTCAAACTTAAATGTATTTTGAAGTCTGCACTTATCGCAATTAGCGGGTCAAGGTTTGGTCTACGGCGCGCTGTCGTTTGAACGAGCAGACGACAAGCAGAAACGTTTGAGAGAGCAGACGACAGCTCGAACGATGAGGCGGCTGTTTGAACGTTATGAAGCATTGAACGTAGTCCGCAGGTGGTCCGTGCAACTTGATGGTTTTTCCGCGTTCATGTTGGAACAAAACTAATAAATCTGATGATCACAAGTATCCGTGAATTCAATCCAAAGTGCTTTCCGCCCAAGCAATCACGGTCCGACGGAGTCTGTTTTTTCTTTTTAACTTTTCACGTTCTCGGACGAACCGAGCAGGCAGAAAAAGCATGAAAACTGACCTTCAAACGTTTCCTGACTCTTTTGGAAAAGCCCCAGTGGCGGCGTTTTGACGAGAAGTCAAGTTTTTGTCCGGTTTCTTTCGAAGTAACACAAGAATGCACGTGCCCCAGGCCCCTTCCGCCCACAGCCCCAGACCGGAAGTGTGCCCGACGCGCCTTCACCGCGCCGTGACGTAACAGAGATGAGTTCGTGTATACGCTGACCTGCATCGCGCCTTTCATCGCACTAAAGCGTTCGTCGGTGCAATGAGAAAAAAAAAAATAGAATAGATGCTTCAAGTATATACTCAGCAAAGCAGATAAAGCCAATGAATAAATCGAGTGTGAAATGCGCCTGGCCTTGGGGACGTGAAAGGCTAGTAGACGGGGGAGCCCCATCTGAGGAGTTCAGGAGCATTGGGATATTGTGCTCATCGTGCTCTCGCTCGTGCATAACCGGCCCATGATTCCAACGAGACAGGCTCAAGTGGAATGGAATAAGACTGAGGGCGCAGGTGAACTGGTGAATATTAGGCAACATAAGAAAACCAGAGACACGGAAACGAAAAGGACGGACACAACATCGGACACAGCTCAGAGAGCTATATCCGAGAGAAACACCGTCTCGGACACAGCTTACAGCCGTGTTTAAGACGGTGTTGTCTACGTCCATTTTGTTTCCGTGTTTCCGCTTTCATTGTGTTGTCAAATGGTATTCTGGTTCGTTTTAGCTCCGCTATAACAATATGGTGATTTCATTGTAGATTGACATTTTTATTGCTATACATTTTTCGAAAAAGTTCGAAATTTCTTTCGAATGTACAACGGGCGTCCAGTAAATATCCGGATTTTGTCCCAATATCCCAAACACGAATCTTATAGACTTTAGCAGTGTATTTGAAAGTGAACATTACACATCTGACACATGGTAAAAGAAGTTGGAAGTATAAACTGTTTTCTCATGCGTCGGGCCAGTTGACTCCAGTGCCGGCCCTGCGTGCGGTCAAGAAATGTCTGTCGGAAAAAGGTTCAAAACCAACACTTAAAATCATCCTTCACCGTCATGTGTGCTCTGAGAACCGACCGTAGCACGTCCATTAGTGTTTGAAAGGTGTAAACACTTTGACTATTGTAGTATGTTGTCTAAAATACTGTTTAGGTCACACTATTTTAGTGTTGTCTTAAATTTGCATTCTTTGAATTTGTTGATGTTTTTGTTTTTAAATGCCTGTTGCCCCATCCCCTCTGCAATGCCCTCGTGGCCCCTGAGGGTATTTGATATAAATAAATAAATAAATAATTAGCGTCGAACACTTTTTTTTTCTTCAGAAAATAAACAAGCAAGCTTACCCGTTTGCTGCATCGCCTGTGAACAGAGAAAAAGAACATATATGATGCATTACCCAAGTAATCAGTGAAACAAAAGATTCATCTACAGGTATAGTATTCGGTAAGATAATTAGAAAGCATAAAACTAACTTTGTGGAATGAAAGAAAATGTATGTATACTACGTTCAATGGGATGGGGGGGGGGGGGGGGGGGGGGGTTGGCACAGCCTAAGCTGCGTGCAGCAAAATCAAGCTTGCTGCTACTGGTTTCCTTTTTCTTTCTTTTAGAGCGCAGCTCTTAGGCACCCACTTCCGGCTTGAGCGGCGTCGCCGTCGCCGTCGCCGTCGGCGTAACCGCGCGTTGCATGCAACCCGCCAGTGTCAACGTAACCACGCGTTGCATGCAACCCACCAGAGTCGCCGGGTACGCCCTCGAGGTCACGTGACCCCCAGGTGACGTGAACCCCGAAGTCATGTGAACCCCCCCCCCCTATCACGTGACCCCCCCCCCCCCCCCCCGAGGTCACATGAGCCCCCTCAGTACCCTTCCCTCCTCCTCAAAAGCTGCGCTCTAATTCGGCGTTACAGGGTGTTGCAAACGGCTTTTTAGAACGCAGCTCTTAGGTGCCCGTTTCCGGCTTGAGCGGCGTCGCCGTCGGCGTAACCGCGCGTTGCATGAAACTCAGGTTGCATGCAATCCGCGTTCCATGTAACGCCGGCGTCGGCGTAACTACGCGTTGCATGCAACCCAAATTGCACTTAACACAAGTTGCATGCAACATGCCGGAGATGCCGGGTTGCATGCAACCCGGCGACGCCCTTGAGGTTACGTGACTCCCCCCCCCCCCAGGTTACATGACACCCCTAGGTCACGTGACACCCAGAGGTCACGTGATGCCCCGAGGTCACGTGACCTCCGAGCTCATGTGACCCCCCCCCCCCCGAGGTCGCGTGACCCCCGAGCTCATGTGACCCCCCCCCCCCGAGGTCACGTGACCCCTCCCCCCCCCCCGAGGTCACGTGACCCCTCCCCCCCCCCCCCCCCGAGGTCACATGACCCCCCTCAGCACCTTTCCCCCCTCCTCCTTCTCAAGAGCTACGCTCTAATTCGGCGCTACAGGGATTGTAAACGGCTTTCGTTCCTTTTATTCACGACACGCCCGCGTCGAGTTCGACGCAAACATTACATATTTTTCTTTTTCTCTTTCTATGTATGCATATACCTCCGTCTTTTGCTTTTTTTCGGTTTTAGTGGTTGCCGCTAGTCACAATATCAAAGCCGTATGTTAACCCCTCTACGAATCACACACAATGTTTATAAGAAGTGTCGGACCTGCCCTCAGTTTCACTTTGCAGTGTCGTACGCGGAAACCAGTGGCATTTGGACAAGCTTTCGGGTGACGAGATTCGCAAATCGAACCGCTAACTATAGGGGTGTGGCAAACTTTTTTTCGAAACTGAAATTCGACTGAAATGCAAAACTTCAACCATTTCGAAATACGACAAGTTTGCTTCGCTTTCAACAAAGGAGATCTCTGCGTAGAAGGTGTGGAGAGTGGCTATGTGGTGTTTGAAAAATAAACCAATTAGCGTTCCCTTCTGTGTCCCTTCCTTCGACTAAACCTTATTTCTTTTTCTGCACCATAGCCTCAGGTCCCAAACGACATGACAAAGTTCGACTTATGGACAGTGATGCCCGACTTCGACACTAACAAATTTCGAATTTCGGAAAAAACAATGCTTTATTACTGGTTTATGTTATATATTATAAAATGTTTACGACATACACGTGCGAACCTATGTACTTTGAATTATTTAGTTCATTCAAACAAAACAATACTAGAATATAGTCTCAAATATCACACTTCCCCTCCGCCAGGCGGAGTCAGGCCATTTTCAAATCTTCGCGCATGCGCACAAAAAGTCGAAATTTGGGCGAACTTTCCCTCGCAGCAACCAACAGAAGCTCCAGTCGCTCTGCTCATACATCATAAAAGGACACGGAGTTTCTCCGCAGACATTATGACCAAGCATCCTCGAAGCACCTGTGCTTCCTGCATACCTTGAAAATGTCTGAGGACAGTTTTTGTACGGCAGGAACATCAGACAAGGAAGAAACACGCCCAGAAAGTGTTCGCAGACTGACTTTTTTTTTCCTATCATGTATTAGCAGTTTTGAGCGCGGCTCTAGAGATTTCGGGCTTTGCCTCGTAATTGTTTAGATCAGCAAAAAAGGCGCCACGAGCGAGTGCCACCGTTGAACTAATTTGCGGGTTTTGTCGGCCAACAAACGAGGAAAAATAACTTACCAGGGTGAGCAGAAAGACAGCTCCAAGAAGGAGCGACCCAGAGCCGGTCATATTTGACCGACGCGTTCCCGGTGTTCACGAACCAGTGGATAGCGTTGGAAGACCCCCTTTTTTGTGTTGGACACCTCCGATATGGTAGAAAGTCATTGGCGTGTCCGTAACATCTTCCGACTGTCCGCACCAGTTGTGTGAAGTACTTTATCGCTTCCACTTGTCGTCCTTATCGGCGCGCATATTTTCTTATACGACGTCGAGCGATATATCGGCGCGTTCTTCATAAACCAGTTGGTATAGCAGTGGGTTGGAACACTCGAAACATCGAAACAACCATTATTTCGGGGTAGGTGCATGATTACAGACTATACTTCGTCGCACCTATACGACGATGAACCGCGGCGGAAGCGCTCGGGCACTAAAGTCGATACTGAGATCGTCATTTTCTGGTGACAACTCAATCTAGACGCTGTAAGCATCCCAACAAACGCAAAATCACAATTGTGCGTAGCTTATTTCTTGGTTAAAAGCGTGTTCAAAGATCGCGACACGCCCTATTCGGGAAGCTCCCAAGTGAAGTGGTTGACGAAGGGTGCTTGTCGGCGAGTTGCAAGTGATGGCTTCACCCGCGGAGAAAAAAAGGTGTCTTATCTGAAAGCGTACCTATCAGACTCTCTTCGATTTTCGAAACAAGTTCTAATAATATCATTTGGAATCTGCGCGTATTGTAGTGCTTTCATTGGTTCATACTGTGTAGTCCGCGAGAAAAAGGAATCTGCATGTTTTTCTCTTGCCCTGAGATGAATAGGTGGTTTTGTGATATAGGACTTTGTAAATTCGTGAACGAACACCTCTTAAAAATATTAGATCAAAAACGACCTTTTTTCAAAAATGACTAAAGTGTCCCTTTAACATTTCACATGTATACGATCACGGCACTGTGGAAGCAAGAAAGCGGGCGGACAAGCGGAGACGCTTGCACAAGGTCGACATTTTTTCCTCACCTCCTTGCAGCAGTGGAAACGTGGCGGCGCGGCCCACAAAGCACGTGACCCTCGAACGGTTGGATACACTCTGAAGGTCACGCGATAATGGGCTTGTTTGTAAACAGCCTGTTCGTTAGACTGTTTAATGCGTCTGTCTATTTTCTCGAGTAAAAATGAATGAAACGTTTGTTTATTGGCTGTGTCTACAGTGCTGTCCGACGGCACTCCAATCGCGCCTACAAGTGCCGTCCGAAAGAGAGCCGGACGGCGCGTGTATCACTGGATGGCTCGTTAACGCACACCCTCGCTTGCGTTCACGCCGCTTCGCGGCGACAGTATGCGGCTGCTAATTACAAAACTATTGACCCTTTTGGCCCCGTCGTACACGCCGCTTCGCTGTACCCCATGCACCTCCGGAAACGAAGTCCCATACCACTTCGTTCAGCAAAATTTTGGCGATAACAATCGTTTTTTCTTTTTTTTCTTTTTGTGTGTGTGTGTTAATTGTAAAAAATAATGTAAATATCGCCAAATGCGTCGGCAAAATAAATTGTTCGAGAAAACAAAAACAAAAAAGTAAGGCCGCACTGGGGATCGCCTGCTTATGAGACAGATGATCTTACCACTAAACTACATTCCGCTTGCAAAAACTCGTTTTGAGAACTCGTTTTAGACGAGACATTCGGACGGCACTTGAACGCTCTGCAAGAGTGCCGTCGGACGGTACTCTAGACAATAAATTGTTTTTTCGTCCCGAACTCGGCGCGGTTTACGTTTTAGGCCCTTCCTCTATCTAGCCCCAGTGGATTGGAGACTCTCCTATCGCGACTTCCGATAAACTCTTCGCACTGGCACAGCGCGTAAAATTTTTTTTTGCAACAGGCTCTCTGATATGCACGCGTGAACGAACTTTAGAGCAAACACCTGTTTCAGCTCTCTTGATGTTCGCTTAAGTTCGCTTATCATCCTGACAGAGTCAAATGCTTTTGCCACGTCCAAAAAAAAAAAAGAGCGCAGGCAAATAGATTATTCTCAAAAGCATCATAAATAAGATCAGTGAAATCCTCAAGCCACAGATGGGTGATTCTGCCAGCAACAAAACCTTACTGGCTCCGCGACAGAACACAGGAGATATGTCGTAATTTCTTTCGACTCTCCACGCGGCCTCTGTTCAATGATATTTTTACTCGCAAAGGGACAAACTTTCTTTCCACACTGAATTCTCTTCCATTATGGATTCCCGAACAACCTAACTGGATTCAAGAGATCTGTAAACCACCCTGGACGCTACCACTACTGGAGATAAACATGGACATTCCAGGCATGCAAACAAAAACAACAGTTAACACATGATGAACAGAACAGCGCACACAAAGACAAGGACAGAGAAAAGGAACATGCAGGACACACAAGCGCTGACTCGCAACTGAATTTATACACAAAAGAAAGAAGAAGAAACCGTTCTGAAAGACACGCAGGGCACGCAGTGCTTATGACACGCGACACAACACCATTTAACTGCAATGTCTTTGCCCCATAGTCCTTTCTAAAAACAAGGTTTCAGTGTTTAGTAGTGTCACTGATGGGTGGCTGACGCAGCAGTCCCCTAGGCTGTTGATGCAATGTGCTTCTAAGATTTCGCGAGTTGTCTTGTCTCGATAGTGTCCAATTATTGTTGTGCCTTTTAGAATCGGAGCACACGAGCAGGAATTGCAGTGAACGGGAAGGTGACCACCCACCGTAGATTTTAGCGAACGATCATGCTCGAGAAGGCGATCGTTTAGGCACCGTCCGGTTTGGCCCACATAGCTTTTACCACACGTTAATGGGATTTTGTACACCACGCCAATTGAACATGGCACATAAGGGTGGCTGTGGCGTTTCTGGCACTTGCCTTTGTTGAGGTTATCCGCTATCGAGCGAACCTTTGAACAGATTTGCGCCATTCTTTTTGGAGCCGAAAACACCACAGGCACATCGTACCTTTGGGCTGCTCTTTTTAAATTATGAGAGGTTTTGTGCTTGTATGGTACAACAACCTTTCGTTTCTGTGGATCTCGAGGTTTCTTTCTCCGAATCCCTTTAGTCTTGCGTACTAAGACCGCCACCACCTCGTTTAAGACCTGTGATGGAAAGCCCGACTTTTGAAGTCTCTCAACTTGAGCATTAAAACTTTCACGAACAGTGTGGAAGCAGGACTTCGTAAGTGCAGCCCCAAGTATGGTAACCGCAATCCCCCTTTTAACAACTTTCGAATGTGCGGATGTGTAGTGAAGGATGCCCTTTTTTGACCTAGGAGAGAAACTCCAGCAGATATGGTTTGTATGAAGAGATAACAAAAGGTCCAGGAACTGTAACTTTCCGTCCGAAGGTTTTTCAACAGTGAATTTAAGACCAAAGCCGCACCTGGAAAATACGCTCATAACCTTATCAACGTAATCACCTTCAACAGACTTGGGATACACTAGCAAAAAATCGTCAACGTATCGGAACACCTTTGACACTTCTGATGTGCTAAGGGCACCTTCAATAGCTCTATCAACACTTGATAGAAAGATATCACTAAGAACGGGGGCCACGCATGATCCTATGCACACACCTGACCGCTGCGTAAAGGTACCATTGTTCCAGCCAACGATCATAGAGTTCAAATAGAATTGCAGAAGTTCTAGAAAGCCTTCTAAAGAAACACCACTAGAGTTTCTGAAGGAGAGCTCCCCTTGCTCTTCAATGCAGGACTTGACTGAGGCAAGTAATGCTTGGTGTGGAAGAGAATAAAAAAGGTCTTGCACGTCAACACTGAACACAGAGTGGTTGTTGAAATTATTGTTCTTGAAAGCTTCCACTACTGCTTCAGAATTGCTGACTAAAAAGGGGTCCTCGATTTGCAAACCTGATAGGTGTTTTTGAAGAAAGCCCGCCATCTGGCGCTGCCACGTGCCTCTCTCAGTGATGATGGCACGGAATGGGCAGGCTTCCTTATGGGTTTTCACACTAAAGAACACCTCAAGGTTAAGCCCTGTTGCTTTCTTGATGTTTCCGGACAAGCTTGTCAAGGAATGGCGTTCACAGAGCTTGAATGCCTGCGCCTTAATCTGCTTGGGGACACTTGTACCCGCTTGAAGTTCTTGCTCATGGCGGTACAGGCTTTTTCATTAAAGTGTTCTTCAGGCATCAATACAAAGGATCCTTCCTTATCAGCCTCTAAAACGCGAAGGTGATTATCGGTCAAAAAAGAAATCAGAGGACGGGGATCGTAGGTATGTCTAGGCCGAGTATGGCTGCCACCGAGAGCGTCAACACATTCTTGAATACAACGCGGTCGGACATCTTCATTGACCTTGTATGCAATTTTTCTAGTTAGCGCCAGAAGCTCGGGGGGTTGAAGAGTTGGTTCGAGGCAAAACTTGGGCCCAAGGCCTATGACCTTTTTGAGCTCTGGCGGGACTTGAATGTCCCCCAAAGATGTAAAGTGACCACCGGTGGGCGGAGGCTTGTTCTTTTTTGGTAACCGTAGTCGGACTCGGCGCCATAAAAATTCAGCAACATCTCCAACTGACTTGTTCATTTCATAAAAGGACCTGCGACACCGCTCTTGAGAGCCCCCTTGGGTGGAGTTGACGATTTTTTGCTAGTGTATCCCAAGTCTGTTGAAGGTGATTACGTTGATAAGGTTATGAGCGTATTTTCCAGGTGCGGCTTTGGTCTTAAATTCACTGTTGAAAAACCTTCGGACGGAAAGTTACAGTTCCTGGACCTTTTGTTATCTCTTCATACAAACCATATCTGCTGGAGTTTCTCTCCTAGGTCAAAAAAGGGCATCCTTCACTACACATCCGCACATTCGAAAGTTGTTAAAAGGGGGATTGCGGTTACCATACTTGGGGCTGCACTTACGAAGTCCTGCTTCCACACTGTTCGTGAAAGTTTTAATGCTCAAGTTGAGAGACTTCAAAAGTCGGGCTTTCCATCACAGGTCTTAAACGAGGTGGTGGCGGTCTTAGTACGCAAGACTAAAGGGATTCGGAGAAAGAAACCTCGAGATCCACAGAAACGAAAGGTTGTTGTACCATACATGCACAAAACCTCTCATAATTTAAAAAGAGCAGCCCAAAGGTACGATGTGCCTGTGGTGTTTTCGGCTCCAAAAAGAATGGCGCAAATCTGTT